CCGCCATGCTCGTTGCTCAGCTGCTTTCGCGCTTGGGCTTCGTCACGCATTATCCTGGTCTGCCGAACCACCCCGACAAGGACGTTCATGAGCGGATTGCGGATGGTACGTTCACAGATACTTCTAGAAGTGAAAATTCGGCGCTCATGTCCGTGCGTAGGATATGGTGCCGTACTCTCGTTCGAAACGGGAGACAAGGGACTCAGCGAGCGCATTGTTGGTGCGACCCGTCTGTGGGGGATCAGTGTCAGTTTTGGCTGCGTGAACAGTTTGATCAGCATGCCATGCGTTATGTCGTACGTCTCGCTAGGTCGCACATACATGCGATCCCTTACGTTTTTGTAGACATGCTTCCATTGATCCTGCCACCCGCGCGGCGCGTGGTCTGCCTGAAGATCTCATCCGCCTGTGCGTTGGCATAGAGGACCCGGCGGACCTTATCGACGACCTTCAACACGCTCTGCTTGAAGCTGGCGCAGTCATGTTTGCTGCGAATGACTATGTTCGGATCCCCACTTCCATCAATCGCGCCGTAGAAAAGCTTGCAATCAGCGAGCCCATCCGAGGGGGCGCACGTCCACGCGAAAATCGCGAATGGTTCGTCAGTGCACCAGGAAAAGTCATTCTGTTCGGCGAGCACGCAGTAGTCCATGGAGTAGTATGTTCCAATCTTCCCTCAGACCCAATGGCCCGATATACTTACAGATCGATGTCACTTTACACAGACTGCGATTGCGGCATCTGTCGATCTCCGTTGTTATGGTTTAACGTCTCCTCGGCATGACAAGAAGCTGTCCATACACCTTTCAGATATCGGGAATCATACCCACGAGTGGGATCTCGACGATCTGCCGTGGGATGTGGTCACACCTATTCATCCAGGAGAGGCACACTCTGACCAACTTGACCAGAAGCTGATGGACGCCATTAGCACACGGGCACTGCCTCCCGCGAGCGAGTTGCCCTCCAAGGCGCATGGAGCTTTAGTTGCCTTCTTGTATCTCTACATGTCTCTCGCGCACGGCGGCGAACGACCCTCGTTCCATATCATAATCCGTTCGACCCTCCCTGTCGGCGCGGGCCTCGGATCTTCCGCGTCCTATTCCGCATGTGTTGCGACTGCCCTTCTGCTCCTGCATCAGCGTGTCAACGTTCCTCCGCTCCCTGCGCCCACCCGCCAGGCTGCCAAAGACGATCCAGGCCACGTCCACATCTCGCACCAGGGCCGGAGAGCGCTCCCCCCAGATGTTGCGGATGAAGTCAATCGCTGGGCATTCGTTGCGGAGAAGGTTCTCCATGGAAATCCAAGCGGGGTCGACAACTCGGTCGCTGTGTTTGGTGGCGCACTGGCGTACACGCGACCTGGATTTGGGAAGAAGAGCGGTATGGAACCTATCCAAGGGTGAGTTATAGCATTCGCGGTATCCCATTTTAACCGTTGACGTTTGTTCACTGTCATCTAGGTTCAAGTCCTTGCGCTTCCTGCTGGTTGATTCCAAGGTTCCTCGAGACACGAAGAAGCTTGTCGCAGGCGTCGCCATGAAGAAAGCGGAGGTCAGACAGGCTTTCTCTCATTCATACCGATGCATTTATTCAGTAAAATTGATTATCCCCAGGATCCTGAAGTTGTTGGTAAAATTCTAGATGCCATCCAAAGCATAGGCGACGAGGCGCGTCGGGCCCTTGCCGATCCCGAACTCTCGCGGACGTCCTTGCTGTCGGCGATTTCAGTACGTGCAAGAACTGTTGAATCTGCTATTGTGACTCTAACTTGTATATCAAACAGGCTCTGATTGACGAGAACCACGCTCACTTAGTCTCCCTGGGTGTATCACACCCCTCCTTGGAAACTATTCGAGCAACGACAGCCTCTCAGCCGTTTGGGTTGAGTACCAAGCTCACCGGCGCAGGTGGCGGCGGGTGTGCTGTTACGCTGGTTCCGGACGGTAAGTGCTACCACATCTGGTAATAGTTCTTTCTCTGACCTAGCTGTTGATAGAATTCGCCGAGTCATCCTTACAGGCCCTCATCTCCGCCCTGGAGTCCCACAAATTCGGCACATACAGCACGTCGGTTGGTGGTTCCGGGCTGGGGATTTTGTCGCCATACAACCAGGATGTTCAGAACGCACCCGTCACTCCGCCAGAGACCCCGGACCAAGAGAGTGGGGCGCGGGGCGGATCCTTGTGCGGTGCTTTCGAGAGTGTCAGTGTCAGCTCGCTACCGAAATGGGCTGAAGACCTTGGCCGCTGGTTGTACGTGTAGTGTGTGGTCTGGGTTTGGATCTGTGATTGTCCGTTGCTGCTGTTCCTGTTGCTCTTGTATGACCGACACTAGTTGTAAGATTAGGTTTGGAACCATTGCTAATTTCAAAAGTCAGGCAATTCTTCCGAGGTCCCGATGCATATTCCATTCGATGGTGCTGAGATCCAAGCTACTTTGTGGTGATGATGCTTGCTTCGCGAAGCAGTGCTGTCGCGTGAAAGAGTATATATCATGTCTATGGGATTATTATTTGAACAGCTGTGATCCATTAAATTACATGATACGACGAGATGGAAAACTACATGGCTACAATGATCGTCAAGATATGCGCAAGATGAGTAACGAGCGAAAATACGTGATGAGGTTTCAGCAAGATAACACTACGATATGCTGACAATGACGGGTTAAATAGCGGACATCCGGGGTGTGCTGTTCAATGTACTATAGGTCATATGTGAAGGGCCGAAGACGACCCGGCAAAGTTATTTTAGCGCAGAATCCTAATTTGTGTAGGGTCATGGGGCTATTCCAAGTTTATGGAACATGTTGTCCAAAGTTCTGAATGCCACCGGCTTTACTAGGCTGATGAGATATCAATGAGCTAGAAGACACGGAGGCGATTGCGATCACATACTATCCATCCACACCGGCCTCAAACGCACGGCGCTTGTCTTCCAGGGAAGACATGCCCGTCAATGCCAAAATTGACGCGGAATGCGAATCAGCGTGAATTGACAGTGAAGTTTCGGTCCGGTTGCGAGTTAACTCTATCGATCGCATTTGAGTGGTTGCGCTGACGCCTTTGCTCGAGTTAGTGCCTCGACTTCCACGTCGGGACCAATGAGACTTACCGTCCAGCACTGGCATGGAGAGGTCAACTAGTACCACGCTATTCAACATACCGTTAGTAGAATTTCTACTACGAACGAAACACACTCACTCGAAGCGTCCATCAGACTCGAAGATCTTAACCCCTTCTAAACCGTCTACGGCTTCGCGGAAGTCATAGCCCTGCGCAAATGTAAGCGCAGTCGATAGCCATGGTGGCAAATCTGTTCACCTTGTTTCTAAGCCATTTGATGCTGATCATCATCCACGGTGAGCACAAGAAAAAGATAGGCAAATTTTGGCACTCACAGCAGACCCCGGAGAATACTGTTATCCTCGATGACCAAGACGCGTACGGGCCCCTGTGGTCCAACAGTGCCGACAGAGGACCTCAGAAGCGTGCCTCCCGGACCCACGGAGATCGTCGGATTCGCAGTGTTAGGCGTCGGGGTAGGGGAATCTGGCGGTTCTGGCTCAATGTAGTTTTCCTCCGGCGTCGAAGCAATGGGCGAGCCAGCCAGCGGATGCGCAGTCGCGGCCCGCGGGCCCAAAGGAGGCCGACGATGTGGCGGTTTGATACTGCCCTCTTCGGAAAAACGCCGAGGCAAAATGCTGTTTACTGTATCTGGTATTCCGGATGAGGGAGAAGCCAGGGATTGTGACGAGCCTGGATGACCTAAGGGCAATTTCCGAGACCCGCGGCTAATATTCAAGATGTGGAGGCACATCTTGAGTGCGGAAGACAGGCGGATCGGACCAACTGGTTTATACACGATGCGACAAAATCCGCCCATCCGCTCATACTCCCCCACGACGTGCATCAAACGCGGGTCGCCACGCAATGATGAGAGCAAGATGATTGGTCGAGACGCTTGCTTGTTCTCGGTCGCTTGAACGAGAGGTTCAAACTCTTCGTTCACGATGACTATCTGACCGGAACTGTCGTCCTCTGCGACCTCGAAGTCCCATCCCTCCACCAGGTAAGACATGATCACAGAATGTAACAACTGTACACCTCGATGCGGGCTGCTGAATCCGAGCAGAGATATCTTCGGTCGCTTGAGGTGGTTGTACACTTTCGTGAGCTCTTCATCCCACAACGTCATGTTCTCGGTCTCCACGGCGTCCGCATTGAACGTAATCTTGATCTCAGTTCCGACACCCTCCGCACTCCATACATCAACCTTTCCATCAACACTTCTGGACCGAATGATACTGTTGACAATGGCGAGACCAAGACCGGTACCTGTCTGCAGGGGATTTTCTTGAGAAAATGGATGAAACAGTTGGTTCTAAGAGACACTCGTCAGGTAAGCGGTGGAGCCATCACAAAGCCGACTGTACCTTCAAGAAATTTTGGCTAATTCCCTGCAAATGTAATGTTTGAGTGACAAAGATTAGCATAGGAGCAAGCATTCAAACATACCTTTCCCGTGTCAATGACAGAGAACTCTATACGGACCTTGTTCTTCGGGGTCTCGTCGCTGTGTGGCAACTGGCGAAGCATGACATGCACAAAGCCATCCTATAAAATTATCAAAAAAATGGGATCACCGGTAGAATGCGACGAAAGTGCGCACCGTGGTGAACTTCAAACTATTACCGAATATGTTCATCAAAACTCGACGGATACCACCCTTCTCACACAGGAATATCCACCCCTGAAGGATAAAATCAGTATGTGGCTGGCAAGCCCAATACCGAGACTGGCTTACAGCTGCGCTGTTCCCAATGTCTATCACGGTCTCAACGTGCGGTGAGGTAGAGTCCTTAGGTTCGAGCTGGCCATCTTGCTTCGGAGGTGAGTATACGCTTCCAATCTCCGATGTGAACACCCTCGCGCGGTGTCCGATCCAGCAGCCCTCCGTGGCCTCTTCAACCAGCTGCATCAAGTCCACCCTGCGAGAACGGTCAGAAGAAAATTCAAGGCAAAACGCTAGGTCGACGCACTTGCTGTGCTGTATGACATGCTCTACCCCACCAGACTTGGAATTACCGCTGAGCTTGGTGAAGTCGAGTACATGGTTGACTGTCTCTACAAGAGAAGTTCCACATGCCTGTACAGTCTGTAGGAAAGACTGCTGGCTATGATCCAACCGCGTGTCCGAGAGTAGCTCGGCAGAAGCAAGAATCTAAGGGCGCAGATGTCTAGTTCAGCTTTCATCCGAGATTCAAAATGACACGACGTATACGTACACCATGCAGCGGTGTCCGCAGCTCATGCGATATGCTGTTTTTGATTAAGCCAGGGAAAGTCGAACAACCGAACACAACTCACTTAGAAATGAACAGACTCTTCGATTTATCCGCCAAGATCATCCTGCGTTTGAGCACAGCCGACAGAATGATGACGCCTGTGCGAGCCAGTTAGACATCTGAGCTCTCGCACAAATGCCTATGCTCACCAATCGCTCGCAGATACGAAAGCTCGTGGCCTTCCAGCTACACATTGCCGCTCGTGAGTAACTGCTACTCGTTGGCCACATTCACCGGAATACATACAAAAGGCGTAGTCCGCTCCCCCGTACTGAACGCACACAACAGCGCGAACGGCTGCTTGTCGATATTGAAGATAGGCACAGCTGAAGAAAAAAAACACCATCGCATGAGCCACAGCTACCTGGCATCTTGCAGTACTTACCCAGCGCATACTGGATGGGCGTCGGCAAGAACGGTCGCAGCGTAGTAGGCACGATACCCTCGCAGACCTTCCCTTCCGGATTTTTCGTGAAGAACTCCTCTAGACGCGCGTATTCTTCCCGACTGAGCGACTTGGTGGTCGTTGCCGTGCCGGTCTGCTTGTCCGCGCTGTGCAACGTGATCGACATCGTGCTCTCCGCACCGACAGTGTCCAACACGTCCACGTGGGATACGTCGAGGACGATCGAGCCTTCGACGTCGAGTGTGCGCTTGACGAGGCGCGCGGCGCGCTCGTAGACTTGCTCCATCGACGTGCCAACGAAGAGGCCCTTGTCGCTATCCGCTTCCTTGTCTAGGTCTAGGCATTCCCGTGTAAATTGCTCCATCTACCCGGGGTCAGCAAGGATGAAATGAAGTGGAGTTTAAATTACATACTGAGCTCTGAATGCGATCTCTAATGCGCAATTGGATCTGTGGGACCACGTAAGGTGGAGTGTTAACATTTGTGTCAGAAGACGTACTTTATCCTTCCACAGTTCTAGCTCTCGGATCGCAATTTGCTGTACACAGACTCAATTTTAAAAATATCATAGCGCGTGTAATGCTCACTGCAAACTCCTTGAGTGTATGCCTCTGGCGTGGACTGAACTCTCTTCGGGGTGTGTCGTCGATGATTGACAACCTAAAGGGGGGATATGTTATTTGCATATTGCGAGAAAGACACTACTCACGCGCCGATGTTGAACCCATCTTGTGTCCTAAGCGGGCAGCCGGCGTAGAACCTGATGTGCGGCTTCCCTACCACAAGGGGCTATGAGACAACCAGGCTCATCAACACATGGCACGAGCCGACAGCCGAACCCCATACAGAGCATACGTACATTCTTGGCAAATCGCCAGTCATCCTGCGCATCGAGAACAACGGTGCACTCGTCGTCCCTACGAAACCGCATGAACTGTCAGATCTCAATCCCGACCAACAGGCAACGAACCTCTGCAAGATTGCATGCGCGTCGAACGAGCTCGTCCTCGGCACGATCTGTGCATCCAGCCCGGCTACACAGCGAGCGACTCGTCACAAACGCATTCACGCGAGCCAAAAGATCCGCACGTACACTCCGATTTGAAAAACCTGCGCAGCAGCGTCAACGACATTCCCCACAAGACAGCCCGAGCGCACTCACTCCTCCGTCCCGTCAATGAGCGACATCGCGACGATCTTGGTGTTGAAGACCAGCTTCACCAGATGCGCTATGCGGTCAAAGTTCGGATCGCGCCCCGTGCCCCAGATGTTGAACCTTCGCGGTTTCACCACACCGAGATCAGCGCCCCGTCTCACCCCGCGCGATTAAGCGGGAAAAAGAAACTGCACGCACTTGTACAGCGCTCGCCGGCGCTCGAGCTCATCCGGGGGGTTCGGCGGGGCAAGGTAGCCCAGTTCCAAAAACATGTGTTCCTCCTTCGCCGCGCGGCCCGCGAGGTTCGACACAAACGTCTCCGAGACGGGGCGCGTCGAGCGCACACGACGCTCGTACAGCGACGCGGTCGGGAGCGGCGCGGACGTCTGGCGCGTGAGGCAGATCCGCCGCGGGAGCGCCGGGACCGTCATTGGATCCGGGTCGAAAGGCGGGGCAGAGATCTGCCGCTCCGGGTGGTCCTGGCGCGCGAGTGTGCGTGCAGGGAGGTCGCTCGCGACCGTCGAGAAACTACTTGTCCGCGAAGGTTCCAACGCACCAAAATAGTCCTCTTCAAGCGACTCGGAGTTGTACTTGATGGGCGCGGTGGCAGGTGGAGCGGGAGGCATCGACAAGGGAAACTTCCTACCAACGCCCTCTTGCTCCTCGCCATCTGCACCGAGCGCGATCCCCTCTGGCCGGAATGTGAGCGGCTCCTCGTCAGTCTCCTCGGGAGGGCTCTGCTCGATCGTCGGCAAGCGCCGGTGGTCCTCGATGTCCTGCGTTCCCCGCCAGAAGCTGCTCAGACGCGACTTCCGTGCGATGCCCGGAGAAGCGGTCATGGGTTCAGAATGGGACAGGTACGCGTGGTCCGAGGGATGCGATCCGGGTATTGTGGCAATCGCACCACGCATGGGGTCAGTGAGCTCGTGCTCAGGCGAGGGGAGCGCAAGGGGCGCGACAGACACACGCGCGGCCGCCCACCGGATGGCCGCAGCGGTGGTGGTGGCCTCACTGGTGGGTATGAACGCGTGGCGGGCCCCGTCATTCAGCGATCCAGATGCGAGGGATGGGCGCATATCGGAGAACGAGCTTCGCAGACGATGCGAGAAATTGCCGAGGGAAAACGGGACGACGAGTCGCTTCTGTGATTGCGATTTCGATGTGTCGTCTTC